TATATATATATATATATATATAACAGTTTAAAGTTTTTGTTTTAAATATTCTTCCTAGAGCTGGCAGTCAAACGTTACTGATCTCCTACTGTAGACAAAAACAATGTAATAATATTAATGTACTAAATTAAATAAATCTGTTACTATGTGTGTGATTGATGGTTTGTGAATTAAAAGCATAGGAGTAATTTGCACTTGGGATATGGGGGACATGATTTTTTCGAGAACCTTTTTTGACAGAATATTCTCAATACGCCAACTACAGAAACTGCTATACCACTGATTAAAGGGACATATATTTTTGTGTTTAGTTTAGTTTGAGGTTTAGAGGAAGACAATTACACAAATTTGTGTACAGGTGCTATACCTCTTCATTTAAAAAGTTTCAGGAACTTGCACAGGTCCCTAGAAATATACCAAGAGTTTTTTACTGATTTCAAACAAAACAATCACTCATTGGGCAAAGTATAATGGTAAAAACTTGTTGTCCAAAGTATTGGACGATATAAGTTCCACACACCCCATAAAATCAAAATAATTCGAACTACTATGTATAAGTAATCTAACACTGACAGTCTGTTAGGACTAAAGACAAAAAATGGCTACCAAAAAGAAATTGAATCCATGTAGGTTACAATTAGTGGACATAAGGGTTGAAAGTATTTAAATAGAAATTGTTATAGCTACCTTGTCAGACAGTTGATATCAATAATAAAATTTATAATGAGATCAGAGTCAGTCACTAATATTGATGCTGATGGAATGATTTGGGAGACTAATTTTAGACACACAGATTGGGACTTTATGAAGTCAAGTATTAAAATCACTCTTGATGGTTTACTACACCAAATGGTCAGAGAGGATGCAATTTTAGACACACAGATTGGGATTTTATGGAGTCAAGTAGTAAAACGACTCAGGATGGTTTACTACACCAAATGGTCAGGGAGGATGGGATTTCACAATTAACAGGATATGGCTGCAAGCTTTGACGTGGGGAAAGTGTCAAACTCGTGCAGCTCTGACTGAAGTACAGAAGATTCATGTCGTTTTTTTCCCTAATAATGGAAGGACATCTATCTCTTAGGAAGAGTGCAGATAGGATGAATGTTTTGCAGAGCTACACAAAAGCTAGGGCTCATATGAAACAGCTGGCTAATAGTGTTAAACTAACAGCAAGGTTTTTTTTTTATAATTTACTAAAGGTAGGTGAAATATTAAAATGTGGATTGGATCCTTGAAGGACAATCACAGCAAGGTTTTTGTTGAAGACTATGAGATAACCAAGATTTTAAATGTTTTCTGACCCTAATCATTCCATTGGAAATACCGAAAATGATCTGAATCATGTAGACATTAATCCACTGGTGGTTAAAAGATAGAGTAATAACAGATAAAGCACTAGTGTTTCATCCAAAAATTAAACTGAGGCCTTTTATCTAATTTTTAGTGAAATAGCCCAGATAATCAGAGATCTTGATAAAGTCCACAGAGTAGATTAACTACAAAATCACATTGTTAGGGGGTTGAGAAAAGACTAGTAAGTTGAATTGTAGGATGATTGGTTGGGAGAAAATTATTAATGTAGTCCTGCCAAACTGGACCCTTGTTAATAGAGGAGTGACTCAGAGGCTAATTGCTGTTGTTTTTTGACATAAAGCTACACAACTGACCACTTGTGCTATGTTCACTGCAGTGAATCAAACCTAAACTTTTAACTTTGTAGGTCCATAAACTTACAGTTGACCAACCAGAGAACAAAAAAGGGTGTTTATTTGTTTAAGTATAAAGCTAATCAATACACTATCAAACTATCTACACTGTATCCACAACAAATATTGAACTCTAATTTTTTTGTATATAAGCCCTCAAACTTGCCAATGGGCCACTGGAAGGGGGGGGGGGTACTTTAGCCTTAGGGCTTTTTTTTTGTTTGTTTTTTACATAAATGATACTGATAGAGGTTTAATTAGAAAGTTTGGGTATGATAAGCTTTTGGGTATTTCTAGCTATACTAAGGATGTTGACATATTACAGAGTGACTTGGATCAATTGGTAAATTGGCCAAGTATCTGGCAAATGACCTTTAATTAAGATAAATTACAAAACAATGCAATTGGGTTACCACAATTTGGATCACACATTTACTACAGATTGGAGCCCACTCAATAGCATGATTGATGAAAAGGATTTTGGCAAACGAACAGACAAATTACTAAAGCCACCTAAGCAGTGCTCTGTTGCTAGTAGCAAAGGTAATATAATTTTAGCATGTATTTATATACAAATTGACTACAAATCAAAAGAGGTAATTATCTCTCTATACAAGTCACTAGTCAGACCTCACTTGGAATACTGTGTAAAGTTTTAGTCTCCTTATTTAAGATAGGATATCGACTTGTTGGAAAGGGTTCAAAGGTAGGCTACTAGGATGATCCTTGGTATGGAAGGGTTATTTTATGGGGACAGATTATGTCGTCTTACTTTGTCTTGAGAAAAGAAGGGCAAGTTTACAGACTACATGGAGGAGTGATAAGATAAAGGCTTTGCTTTAATTGTTCTATTTTCTGAAAACAATAGGATTTGTTTGCTTTTAAGTACAAAGCTATATATGGAGCTATTTATCTTGTGTAAACTATGGGCATTAAAACCTGGTTTTTAAGAGTTATAAGCCTTCAATATTACCAATGAGCCACTGGGGAAAACAATAGGATATGAAGAAACATGTGAAGGTTTGGGAAAGACAAGCTAGGGTTCATTTAAGACAATTATGTTTCTGACAGATTGATTAGATTATGTAATACATTGCTATTGGCAATAGTGAAGGCTAGCATTTTAGAAGTTTAAGACCAGTTGGCAATTTCTTGAAAAAATAAAGGGTGCATTTAAGTGTCCATCTTTTCTAAATAGTGGATATGCAGGGATATCCATGAATTACCAGACAGTTTCTTGTTGTTCATACAAGTTCTTACTTCCAATTATGAATGGGCACATACAGTATTTTACAGTAATAGCCTAACAGTTAGGTTCAAACATAGCTGCATCCCAGCTTGACAAAATGTTTAAAATGCATCATTTGACAGTTAGGTTGACTAAGATGATGTACGAACATCCTCTTATGGCACTTGTAAATTACATGTACAAAATATCAATTACATTTCATATACTCTAATAGAATACATTGTAAATTTGTGGTAACTGTGGTGGTGAAAATAATTCACAACTGTATGAGGCATCTTAATATGGTAACAAACAAAGAAAGAAATATTTTCTCTGGTTGTTTACACATTATGACAGCTATACCAGTAATCCATTGGCATCACAAGAATGTGCGTTACAGATTCTTTTACACACAGAAGAACTGATGAATAGTAAATTGTATGCATTTTTTAAGACCACAGGACTTGTACACATGTCCAAGTTTGTTATTCCAAAAAGTGATAAAACAATAATGAAACTGTGATTGAGAAATTTTCATTTAAAGGATATTTGGGTATTGTTACATATCTGCTTATTTCCGGTAGAAATTCTTTCTGAGGATCTTCAGCGATACAAGTCCTTTCTTGATTAAACCAGTTTATTCTTCCTCGATACAAACTTTTAGTACACAGAAGTTCCACAATCAGTATGTTTCTAGTCACTTTAAACTTAACAACTTTTATTATACATGCTATAAATCACAGCTATTCACAATCTCGATAACTTCGATCTTGACGAGTGCAAAACACACACTTTAAAGCTCACTAGCTCGAAACTAACAGAATCATAAATTACACAGAATTCAAAGTAACTAATGCTCTCTCTTCATTCATATCCCCGCTGGATTTCTCTGCCAGGCTTATATACTAATGAAGAGGGCACCTCGAACACACTTGGACTTCCCTGATCATTCGAGAAACTCATCACGCACCCTACTAGTGCCAAATGCACCAGCAGCATCACATGACTTCCATTTTCGTAACAGTATTAATAGTTTTAAAGTAGAAAATGCTGAAATAATACCCTAGAGTTATCAAAACTGGAATGCTAGGCCATATTAACTTGTACCTTATTTATCTGTATGAACAATAACAATTCTAATTCTTCAACAATAGGCCCCATTAGAATTAGTTTCTTACACTGAAATCATACTTATAATTGTACACTTAAAAAGTTGTTTCTTATGGTTAGAAGTCAGAACAATAAATCATATTCATACATATCGATTTAGTATCATATTTAACAAAATGTTTGAAGAAATCAAGAGTGATTTAATTTTCTACTGATAATTTATATTATAAATTCAATTTTACTTTTATGCTACTACTAGTTTTTACTAAATACCTAAATTTAGTTTAAAAACTTTTGAAACAAGTGTATGGTAATAACCAACATTTTTAATATAGCCTAACGTTAACTAGTAACAAGCTAATAGAGTTATGTAATTATTAGTATTACTATTACACTAAAATTTAAAAGTAAACATGTATAAATTATCCTAAACTAAAGAGTAACTGTTAGTAACTAAGTAATTGTTACTGTTAGGCTAGTCTAGAGGAACTTTTTCGAAGTTTGGAATACAATTTTAAATTGTAAAATATATATAATGTGTAATGACATTTTGAGTTAAACAACAGTCTTAACAATATTTACTTTAAAGACAGACCGTAACGACTAATGTCATTAATGAAGTAACCTCATGAGTTGTAAATTGTTACTCACTCAGTCACTGTGAAATGCGTGTCTCACTTCATTATTACGTTCACAAAGAGGCTTCTTGCCGTTTTAAGTTTCCAAATAAGTATGATCCTAGGCCTAACATTATATGCAAATCTGTAACCTGACCCTTTAGGAATATTAAAACGCCAAAAGTTTAAATCAACAACTGCTTTTCAGTTTTATATCTTGTCTCGCCAAAGTCACCTATCTAAAATGAACTTATTTTTCATACTCGGTGAGTACACGATTAACAGCATTTGGGTGAGAAACCGAGCAGCTAGTTCTTCATCTTTGGTTTATGAAACACAATTTACATTTCTTGAATCAATATTTTCAATAAGAAATTTTTACTCACAAACTCAAATCAGATGTTTCATTTTAAGTACAAGTTTGATTAAAATAACATAATTTATTTTAAAAACAAGTTATATTACACACTACTCACTTAACACTGGGTTTTTAAGATCCTAGGTTTACCCATAATCCCTTTCATATGTCCTTTTTTTTTTTCACTAACTAAAAAAAAAAAACATTTTATAAATCTAACAAGATAGAGTAAGGCTTTTTATATTAGGTTTGTATATTTGTTCTGAAAGTAATTTTTTTAGATAAAGCATATTACAAAAGGACAAAATAATTAAAAAATATACAATTAATTTTGGTCCTACTCACAAGAAAAGAACAGAGAAGTGTGTGAAAGACCACTACGGAAAGTTTGGGCCCATACGTATGTTATGGCTTATTTTGAATATTCGTGCAAAGTTACCCAAGCCATCCTTAATATTTGAGCTTTTAGACTAGAAAGAACGTAGCTACTCAATAGTATTCACCGCCAACTCTTGGGTTATTTTAATTGAATCTTAGGAGTTAACCGTCAACGGTCACTCGTATAACGCGTGCACGTTCACAAAGTGTGGAGTATGATTTTTTGGCGTCATAAAGACGCCAATTACTAGGCCACGTCGGGCTCATACAGTGTTAAAAACATCATTTTTCCAAAAGTGACTGGAACTACTAGTTCTTGTACAACTAACCCGTTTGAAGCCGCAATGGCGAAACGTTGGCCGAAATAAAAAGTTATTTTATTATTGTTACGTCTCTGGTCGTTAGTTAATTTTCCGTAAAAAATTCTTTCCGAATAAATTTTACTGATACAAGTCCTTTCTTAAATAAAACTGGTTTATTCTTTTTGAATACAACTTTGCAATACACTTAATTTCCACAGTAACGCTATACCAAACGCAATAATTCACAACGAACTACTCACGTGCTCGACTCAATTGTCAGTCTCTCTCTGTCTGCAGTTCAATTACATTGTTGCCGTCAGTTCTTCGCGATCTTATATGCAAGAATACCATACATCTAGTAACCTCTCGAGGCTTCAAGAAGGGACATGAATTTTCTAGAAGCGTATGACGTGTTACTAGCGTCACGTGACCCCCGCTGTCGAAAAACTGCCCCTTCCTTAGTATTGTTTGTCCTGAACAATAGCCACTTACATTAAACCAATAAACAATTAACAATAACTTAATTAAATGTACAGAATTTACAAACAGAAAATTAAAATTCAACAAAGTCTCTTAATTTTACGGGACG